ATTAAAAAATATGTTAACTTATTAATAATAAAGATATTAACCTTCATACAAAATTTGGTTTATTGCAACTTAAAATACATATTAAAATTTATTTGTATTGATAAATAATATGAACCTATACATTCGTGTAAATTGTAAATAGGAAAAGCCCTCCTAGAAGGCATGCAGATAAGCACTTTATTCAGCCCGTCTTGAATAAACCTTTTAGAATGGCTTCAGTTAAGAAGGCCTGGCCTACCTAAATTATCTTCTGGGACGTTATATGGAAGAAAATGCGTAACGCTCTTTCCAAAAAAAAAATCTAAAATAATCAACAGTAATTTTAATCGACTTGAAACTTGCACTTTATTCGACTAAAATTTAAAAATTTGGAAATTTTGATAAACATTTTTTTAAGTTTGATTAATTTTTTTGAAAGTTGTGCAAGCTTTGAAACTTTTAATTAGAAACTTTGTATCAACGCAGAGCAGTAATAGCGCTGCGTTGTTTTGTGTTGATTAGAGCTATTCTGGGCCATGACCGAATCTATCGTAGAAAATCTACGAATTCGAATGCCAGCTAAGAATACGAAAATAATGCTATCACCGAATCCGAGTGAACTCGAAAATATCGTTGCCAGCTTCGAATGCTGCGCTTTGAGAATTGAAAATCAGCTAAAGGAAACATTAGGCACATGAACAGTGGTAGAAAAATAAATAGGGACAGGACATTTTAACAGATTTTTCCTATTTTTCTTTAATTTATTTAATATCTTTAATTTTTTTATAAAAGTATAACTCATTATTTAACAAAAACCATATATCTAAATTCATATTTCAAAAAATGGCATCTAAATTTTCAACTTATGCAGATTTATATCCCATTAAATTTTAGTAGAATAAAGTGCAAGTTTGAAGTTTGATAATTTTTATTCTGAATGTATAACGCACTTTTTTCCATACACAAAAATATCGTCGAACATATTTTGTATGGAAGAAAACGCTTAAAAAACAATTACAAAAATGGAGGCGATTTTTTAGCAACTTAAGACCAACTCAACACAAAACTACGACAGACCCATTCGGACAGAACCACTCCAGCAGAAATAAACCGCCGCCTGCAACTCTTACAATCTGCTCGGTGTTTGGGTCCAGAATATACCGTAACGTGAGATCTGTCAAGTGCAATTCTTACATTGGCTGGTACTACTTAAGGGCGTGTTCCGTACTGCGTACTACGCGAGATTGGACGAGTGACTATGTGGACCCCTGCTGTGCTGCTCAGTCGCAAACTTACCCCGCGACGCCCCCACTACCACCACAGGGCAGCACCCCCTTCCACAACACACCGCAAGGGGCTGGCAGGCAACAAACTTCTTAACACCACACAATGCAATCAGTCTCCTAAGGCAAGGTCCTACAATTTAACTGTAAAGGGTTTCAGAACAAGATCGAGGGGTTAACCGTCTTCATGAGCCGTCCAAGAGACGAAGTTGAACAGAAATTCAACGCTGTTGAGCGCAAAGTAAGGGTTTTAGGTCCATATTGGGATTATTTAGGCAGAAGTGCATCCAAAATCTTTGGTCCCACTTAAATGAAAAAATCCGCCTTCACGATGTTGGAAATTTCAGAGAATTTTCTGAAGAGTACAAAAAGTACTAGGATATCATTTTAAAGGACCTTTGATTAACATTGAAGGGATGCCACGAAGATGCCAAGCTAAGCTCGAAAGTAGCAGCTTGTATACAAAATATAACCAAAAAAAAAAAAATCAATAAATACGTTTTAACAAAGGCGAAGGCAATCGTGGCTAATTAGCTGCACAACTCTTTTTACCTTCCTTTTATTAACTTGTAACTTGATGTAACTATGTAATATTGATGCGCCTAAAAGATGCAGCGATTTCTACTCCCAAGTTACATACCTGATGACAGTACGAATGGCATTTATAATAGGGAGGTTTTAGTTTTTTAAACTATAATTTTATTTATTGAGTATAAAAAGTTAGCATATTTTATAAATGCGCTTGCGAATAAATATAGTACTAAGATGTTCATTTACAAGTTGAACTAAAATCCCAAAAATCGGTTAACTGTAAATACATATTGTAAGAGTATATACTTATTTCAATATGTACGTACGTAACTGGAACGGCACAGATTTACATCTGGGCAGGACTGTCACTTCAGCAGCATTTCACAAAACTGTGTGCAGTTTTTATGCTCTTTCATCACGTAAACTGTTTATAATAATATGTATATCTTTTTAATATTTTCAGCTTTTGTAACTAAAACTCCGTTTTGACATCACACTTAACTATTCTCATCATAATAAAACACCATCGAAAACGAAATAACAAAATCAACAAAAACTTACAAAAACAAAACAAGTTAATCAAATTACAAAAACCAACAACAAAATCGCGCACGATTAAAATATATCTAAAAATACAAAAAGGACTGAGCTCAAGGAAGGCGTAATTTATGGTGGAGGAATTAGAAATTAAGGCGACTAATTTCTTGTTCCAAACTTTTTTAATATTAAAAAGTTAAAAACAACAAAATTTAATACTTATCCAAAGCATTTGAAAACAAATAACGTTCGGCAAACGCTTGCGAGACAGTGCTAACACGCGTGTGCACATCCACGCGTGTGCCAGACTTTTATATTTTGTTGTTGGAAACCAACTTAGTCAACTTGATTACAAATTGCTGCAAATGCATCAGAATTTTTTCTCAATACTCAACAATATTGGATTCCCTATGCCTAAAATAAACCAAAAAAAAAAATAGATATATCTTAAAAATGTCTAAACAAAGGTAATTCAGTATCAGTTCCATAAAATAGTTGACCAACATACTTTCAAGAATCTCAAGGTGGAGGCGTTTGGAGTAGCCAGAAAGGTCAAACAACTTAGACGGAGATAGTAATTGCCTCAAAACAGACTTGCCCCTTGCTTCAGATTGCGGTTTAATCAAACAAATGTGAAACAATACTTTTCAGCTTAATACTCTGCCACATGGTTAACTAATGTAGTGTATCATAAGTTACAAAATATAAATTTAGAAAATCATAAATCCATAAACTCATAAAAGGAGCATTCCGATGTTTGACGCTATTGAAAACAAAAAGTAAACATTACCATCAACAGCAGATATAGACTATTTACCGATAAAGCAATTCAAATCTATAAAAAATAAAAATAAAAATAATACCCACACAATCGCAATCGTCCAGCGTGTGCGATAGTTGCCAACATCGTAAAAGACTTCCTCGCGCCAGTATATATTGTTGTGCAACTCTCACAATTTGCGGTATACAAGGTTCCAAAAATTTAATCCTAAACCACCATTATTCCCACTCTAATCAAATAAACACTCCACCAAATTCCCCAACACATCTCCTTTGAAGACCATCAACACTCCATAACATCCATACAGATTTTAAACGGATAGCGGATCGGTAAAGGATGCAGTTTGAAAAATAAATATATCTAGCAACTGTAAATTGGAATCGCAATATAAACAAAAGCAAAACAACCAGCAACAAAAAGAAAACCAACAAGAAAAGTTTTAAAGTACAAAACGCAATAAGAAAAGAATTAATTAAAAACAACCACAAATTATTAACTATAAAAGAAAAAATAAAAAATTTCAGATTAAAAAATAAGTGTTGTGAAAAAAATAAAAACCAAGAACAGAATAAGTAAATCGCAACAAAACTTTATATTAAAAGGTGTTAAAAAAGAACCATTGAAACACAAAAACCAAAAAAAACCAGATAGCTGGGATCATATTTGGTGGTTCATTGTGGGAACTGGGGATAGCTAAGTGCTGAAAGTGTGCTTACAGAAGTGAAAGAAAGCCAAGAAAACACATCGATGAAGATTAGCCACCAAAAACAGCGTTGAAGAAGCCGTTTGGATTTTCCATTTTGCAAGTATCAATACATCAGCAGCCGTGAGTTTTACTGCTTACGCATAGTTGGCCAAATACGCGCCACATAAACAAACACCGCGTACCCAGGTACTAGTCTACAGCAACAATACGATTCAACAGACTATAAACGCTTTAAAAAAAAATTGAAGATCTTTCAGAAGAAAGTTGAACCAAATTCTTTCAACACACAGTCCTAAGCGACTTCAGGCGTAAATAAAAAGCCATCGAAACACTTCATTCAAATAAAACCGAACCGAACAACTGATGAAACAAACGGAAGGCAAAGAATAAGCGAAAGTCAGTTTATCGTACAAAGAAGCTGTAGAGTAGCAAATTAGTTGAGACGAAAGTTGTAATGAAGGTATTCTAACTCAAACCAACAAATGCAACTTAGCAACAAAAACCTAAAACGGAAACAATAAATTTAAAACACTCATAAACCAATATTTGAATGAAAAATTAAAAATAAATAATAAACATTATTATTTAGCAAGAAGCGCAGAAATCGAAATTAGCAAAACAAAAAATTAAAATATCCAAAAATAAACTAAAAAACATTTACGCCACATTTACATGTGAACAAAATACATATTTTACAATTAAAATATCTAAACTGACCACAACAAGAACCCAATAAGTATTTGAATCAGCAACGAAGTCTTAAATAAAACCATCTTTAAGTAAAAAGAAAAAGCAAAACAAGAGGACGTATAGGCGCTGGAGCGTCATTTGCTGAGGGGCGCCTGCTACGCTCACTCTGTACACCCCTCACGGACATATTAGAAGGAGTGTCCGGGGAAAGAGTGGAGATAGAAGGCGAAAGCCGGAACTGATTTAGTTAGACTGCAGCAACAAACCGAGGAAATTTATAATAGCTACATTAAGCAAAATGGAAAACAAAAATACTATAAATGGATGTGTGCGCATGTGAATGTGTCTAGTACCTACAGTGTGTATGTGTGATTGATAATATGCAACAATAGCAAAACAAGAGAGAATTAAAAAACCAAGAGTTTATAAAAACAACAAAACACAAACAAAAATTCAAAGAAAGATTTAACAACTCTGTGATAATTATTGTAAATTTATAATATAAACTATAAACAGAAAAGTAAGGAACAGCAACAAAAAACAAAGATTATTATTACAAAACAGCAACAAATGAAATTTTCGTTAATTTAAATTGAATTAATAGAGTTAAAAAAATAGAATTACTATAAAAAAATTCTTAGAAATAAAACTACAACACAAAACAGAAACAACTAAAGCAAATGCAAATGAAGATAATGAAACATTGAAACAAATTCGTGATATCTTAAAGGACTTCGATACATATATACTATAGTATATTATTATATTATATTTTATATTAATTAAGTGAATACATAATAAGCTTATATGCATAAGCAAAAAAAAACCCTTAAACACAAACATAAAATTACAAAATAAACATTCTGGGAGCACCTACTAAAGTTGTGGAAAAGCAGAAGCGGGGCCGATCTGAGGTACTGGAGAAAGGAATGCTGTAAACTGTAGTAGTTTCTAAATAAGTTTTAAAACAACTTTGCTACATTTAAGGTTTAGAGTAACGTAAATAGCAGCCCAGTACGCAAACAACCAAAAATACATCCAAACAGCGAATCGTCAACAAAGCTACCACTATCGGTTTAGGTTTTACGTTGAAAACACTTTCGGTTATATCTTTAAAACTTCCCCCAAAATATGAATATGGCGTAAAAAAACTATCAAAAATAATAAAAAAAACACTGCATAAAAATAAAAACAATAGGATAATAAAAGGCTTACTTCAGCTGTACGAGGTCGCGCAAAAAGGCTACAATTGGTAAATGAACGATTGAAACTATGCGTGAATTTTAGTAAAAGAAGCAAATACTTAAATAATTCGATAGTCAGCACGATAACACTAAAAAATAGTCCATAACAGCAAAAGCGATTGATATAAAACTAAAAAGCTTTCGTCATACAATCCTACAAAGGCGCTGTGTTTCGGCATTTACCATATACATACAAACAAACATACATTTATAAAGGCTTTCAGTGAATTGTCACTGCCTCCCTACAAAACGGTAAACAAGTGAACGTGTTTAAATCTTTAAAACGATAAGCCATTAAAAAATAATCTTTGACAAAACTTACGATTAGAACATCGAATGCAATTTTAAGTTTTATTTTGTTTTGTGCCTCTACGCATTTTCATCATCAGTTGCCATTAGTGCATTTAGCACGATAAATAAACCTATTGGACGACGCGCTCTACTACCATAGTTGACTTCTGCTCCTACTACCCCTAATAAAAGCCTTCAACGTGTATCCACAGCGACCAAAACCAGTGCAACACCCACCACCACCACTACTACCACTACCAACAACAAATATTTCAAGTGTACTTTCCAATATGAATGCCCAATCAAAAGGTTACCGCACCGGTGAAGGTAAATATGTAAATTAACTTTCTTATTGTATAATAGTATGTATTTATGTTTTCATATTAAGCAGTATATTCATATTAGATTCATATCGACTCCTGAGTGGAAGATCGACCTATCTGGGCACCGAGTTCGAAAACGCCCTATATCAAAACTTTTCAAGATCGCTCCACTTCAGAATTTGATTGAAGAACGCCCTATCTCAGAGTTCGGTTAAAAAATGCTTTGTCTCAGCTGAAAATACATTGACAATGTGCTGAGGTAGGTTGTTTTTGAATCGGTAGCTGAAGTAGTGCGTTTCTGAACCGAATTCTGAAATCGGGCGTTTTCGAACTGGCTGCCGACATAGGTCGATCTTCCACTCAGTTATCGATAGTAGTATTCGAACACTCCAGATATTTTTCAGTGGTCAGTTACGACAACTGAAAGGTTACTATCACTTACATAATAATAATAGATCGAATTTGTCCGGTTTGAATATATACATTAGCGTGGGTCGATTCTTATTTTAATAAATCACATGGAATTTTCGGATTCTACAGATAATTCTAAGCAAAAGAAGAACAAACCGTGGGTCGGAAAAGAGTTTCGGGCCTGCGCATTTTCAAATGAAAAAATTGCCTTTTCACAAAATTATTATTTTGTTTTCATTCCTTGTCTGTAAATACATACATACATGTACATAATCACCTTTTCTTACAAATTACACTGGTCTACAAATTTCAACTTTTTTTCTGCGAATAAGACGGGACCTGGTGTTTCTGAACGGATTTTTCGTGCTGAACACGAATCCGGGGTCAAATACACCCCCTGATCTAAGGGTGCATGCGATTAATTCGGCATAGGGCTCATTCGAAAGGGCACGATTTAGCCTTTAATTTCTGACATATACAAAGTTTGTAGCACGTCAGGGTTCAGCTCTACAATTTTTCAAAAATGGCCAAAAACGCTGTTTTTAGGGGTTTCAACCCCTTTTTTCTCGAAAACGTGACGTGATGGGAAGTTTTGGACCCCAGATTCGTGTTCAGCACGAAAAATCCGTTCGGAAACACCAGGTCCCGTCTTATTCGCAAAACCCTTGTAGACCAGTGTTATCTATCTTCTTCTATATATATATAATACGCGAAGTGATTTTTTGTGCAGCATAAAAGATCTGTACCGTTCGCCCGATTTTCAAAAATGAGATGTCAAATTAAAGCGCTTGGTCTGTAGATGTGCAATAAGGTTTTACTTTTTTCGAAAAGAGTTGCCACATGATAAAAAATTGCATTAAAATAATTTAATAATCGATGCCATCAGTTCTACACCGTTCGTTCGATTTTCAAAAGTGAGGTGTCAAATCAAAGGGCTCTCCCTTAGGTGTGCAATAAGGCTTAACTTTTTCGAAAAGAGTTGCCACCTTTTAAAAAATTAAGTTCACAATAATACGCGAAGGCATTTTTTGTTCCGCAAAAAGGATCTGCACCGTTCGTTCGATTTTCAAAAATGGGGTGTCAAATTAAAGCGCTTGGCCTGTAGATGTGTAAACTGGTTTTATTTTTTCGAAAGGAGTTGCCACCTTTTACAAAATTTCAAATTATCTAAAAAAATCAATTATTAGAAAATGGGTATCAGTGGAAAGGGTTTTGAAAATATTTTTTTCTTAACTTAACTTTAGGAGGGTTGCCACCTGTTTAAAAAATTAAATTCAATTTGAATTAAGAAAATTAATAAGAAGAAATATGTTTCAACATATGGGCGCATAACGAAAGGGGCTTCAGAAGGTGGCCGTTTGAAAGTATTTTGAAGAGGGTTGCCACCTTCTT